ACTAGTAGAAGTGACAGTAAATTACTATCTGCTATCCCGTTCTGCCTTCTCTTCTTAACACATAATTGGGGGACATAACCAGTGTTGGCACAGGAACACACAAGGTTATAACAGTACTGACCATCTTTTCTTTTTCCAAAAGTTTGAATAGGTTTCAGGCGTGAAAATAGATTTTTTTCGAAGCGTCATACATGTGTGAAATTCTGCGGTCGTCCGGCCGAAAAACGTCATGGACTCCGGGTTTCGGTCTTGCTTATGAGAACTAGTATGATGAGAAAGCAAGTGTTGGACAACTCAACTGTAATGTGACCTTTACAAGGATCGGAAGCATAATGGACAAGAAAATTGTTCTTCTCAACCACGTTTGTCACAAAAGACAGTGAATTCAAAAGGTAGGTGTCAAAAATAACACTGGAAAATCACGAGACAAACCGAAAATACCACAAGCAACACCGAGGAAGATAATGTGGGATGCGTACTGAAGAGCCCGAAAAAAAAAACAAAGGCAGTGGAAATAGAGATCGTATCTGGAGGGAGGGAACGTAGTACTCAGAAGACGTCTTGAATTTCCTGAAGTCGTCGGACATTGGCATCGAAGGGCAGGTCAAATTCTATTGTGGAAAGCTTGTTGAGGGACTGGAGGGCGTCATCGAAACCTGTAATAGGAAGAGGTGACGTCAGAAATTAAGGTCCAAATTTCAACTTGGAAGATTTTTTCGACGGTAACTGGACCCAGTGGGGCTGGCAGACGAACCCTTAAAGTTTATAGACGGCCAAAATCAATATACTATATTGAGTTATGAGAAAACCATCTTTTCCGTCTTTAAGTCCGCGTTTGAGGGCTAAAACTCGTTCGTGAAGCTGGTGGCCGTGCTTTGTAATATATTTGAAAAATAATCATGAATTATGCTGGGGCAGGCACATAGGTCAGTGGGTTGGCTCGGAAACCGGCCTTTTTCTTCCGGATTGTGGCACAGATATTTGTCTTTAAGCGAAGTAATAAGAGTTGCCTCAATTGAAGTCACATTTACACGAAAAAGTGTTAGTGTGCTTTCAAATAAAAGGGATGGCATCGCAAAGACGGGGCGGGTCTGTTAAACTAACTGTAAGTTACTCTGCGTGTTCAAGATAGATGTTAGTGCTACTGACCGCAAAGAAGGCTAGTCGCGAAACAGGAAGGGTCTTTGATTCGACGGGTATACATTCACACGTGGAGTGGGCACCAAACCAATTAACTGATTACCTGTATAAAAGGTTACAGCTAGTGTTTTAGTGCGTCATGGCTAATATATCTTAGCATCAACTGTGGCTTCAGTGATTGTCCAACAGAACCCTGGACCCCAAAATGGTATCCTGAAGAGATGCATGGACACACACACTTTGAAATCCAGGAAGTAGGAGAAGACATCTTACAAACAAATCACTCCAGATAATAGTAATCCGACGAGTCACGCAGTAATCGGGTTTTTACGAACCGTGAAGTACGGTCGGACCAGGCGAAGGCAAGTAACGTGTACGAAGGTAACGTCCTGTTCATCAAAAAATGCGTAGAGATGGGTTCTTACCAAGCAGCAACAACAAACAGGTAACTCAAGCACTGACAGTATCTGCCTTACGCCTAAACAACGAGGATAAGCGAACGACTCACATACCCTCGTTCGCACCACTGACAACTACTAGGTTATCCACTGATTAGGAAGTAGGAACAGCGAGATATGCTGGAGAGGAAGGCAATATTCGGGTGACTGCCGCACCAAAAATACCTGGTCATCTAGAAGAGTAAATTGCAAGACGGTCTCAGGTGAAGAAAACAACGGTAGTCCGACCGTGGCAAAGGAAGATAGCCTGGAGAGATGCACCCAGAAGCGCTGACTTGCGCGTGAATTTGCCTCTTGTGAGGCAGATCTGCGTTGCACTCCCCCCCACACTCGCCATGCTCAAATGGTAACAGAAAAACGGCCAGATGTGATAAGGACGCAGTGGCTGCCAAACTTAAACAACCTCGTCCGAGCGTATCACACACACGACCTGGTCCACGCTCCAAGTGTACTGGTCCACATTTAGTGAGGGGGCTGGGGTCTCATATAAGCGAAAATACCTAAAAGGTAATAGCCATTGCAGTGTGAACTTAAATTGTGAGAAGGGCCGGGTTATTCCATCAACTGGGGACCTAATGAGTCAAGACTTTCAGAGCACGGTGATAGATTCCGATTTATTATAGTGAATAGTGAATCGATCTGCCACGACGACAGAGTCCATTTCGCCCTCTCTCTCCCTCTCCCATGCGCCGATCAATTGTCCGAGTCAAACTGACAGGTAATGTGGTTGGAAATAGCGGCTGACAGAGTGTGAACGTCCCTGTCTGTGCGTACCGCATACCTTCTGGACTTTTGTCCCACAGGACCAGTCGTTATAAAGTTACATGCTTTCCACACAAGTAAACTGTGCAATTTCCCACACAAGATTCGCTCGTCATAACGACGCTGGCATATTGTACGACATGGCTATTCCGTGACTGATGCATAAGTTTATGTTGACTGGTACTATATGTACACATGTTACCGAACAGATCCATGTGGAGCCTGGGTGTATTTTTTGAGTGTGTGTCCACCCCAGGCGGCCGACAGTTAGGCGGAGGGGGAGAGAATGAGGTCGACCCTCGGACACCGCAGTCGGTCCAGTGTGTTTTGTTGTGTGTAGTGGCTGTCTGCGGGCTGAGAGTCAGATCCAATGACTCCTTCTGAATGTAGCCTTTATGGTGCCCCCCTGTCGGGAGCCTACCTAGCGAGACGTGCTGTTAGTACGCGTGTTGAGTGTTAGTCGCGCCAGCCGTCTGCGCCCTTCCTCATCTCCGGCATTCTTGACAACCAGATCCCGGTGTGAGAGTGGTCAGAGAGTGAAGTAGTTTCTCCACGAGTCTGCTTCGCTGTTTACTCCGAGGAAGTCACCGCGTGGCTTCAAGTCGTTGAAGCCGTGATGGATATCGTCGAAACTGACAGTCGAACTGTCGTGTGTGTGTGCCATGTGCCCCCTAAAAGAGTCTCGTGGTAGATGCGTTGGGCCGACACGGGAGCCAGGTTAAGTTACGGCAGGCAGTATTTGGGTCGCGCTCCCATAACAAATGCCGAACATTGGAGAGCACGCATAGGGGCGGTCGTGGCCTCGCCAGCCATCAGCGCCCGATCCCACCTCCTGTCTTCTTGACTGTGTCATAACACAGGAGGATAAGAGAAGAGAGCGGGTACGTAGACGCAGCGAAAGTCTACCATCACTTGAAACTAATTCACGCGTAAGTCACCGTCCCTGCACCACTCTGTTGTGGAGCGTACAGTTGACAGCATCGAAATCGATGGTCGAACTGTCGTATGTGTTTGCGGGCAAAGGGAGTTTGGAATGTGTTGCTTGACCGGTAGTTTTCGGCGCATCGCCATAAGGCGGTCATTTCACGGAGCACAAGTCATCACCCACATCAGCCACACCAGGACATATGACGTCACTTGGGAGGTAGTGCACGAATGTTACAGGGTGCACAACTGAAACAGCCGCAGAGTCCCTCTATTAAAGACCTGGACAGACAACAATCATGTCATATAAAGGAACACTTTCTGCCTCTGTAAGGGCAATAAAACGATCTGAAAGCATTTTATTGCGCAACGGCGAGATAATCGTGATATTCTGGTGACAAAGGTAATGTGTGATGCCGGCTGTTAGACTAACCATTATTCACGTATCACCAAGATGAAACCCAGATTCCAACTATAAAAGGTCTTGTTAGGGCAGAGAGCTTAGAAATAAATAAAAATTGCGTTTTTTGAAAATGCAGTTTCCAGACAATGATTATCTTCCAAATTAGAAAATAAACCACAGCAAGCGCATTTGGAGAAATGCTACGATGCTTGAGATAACTCAAGCATGTCAAAACCCACATGGCGCAAACAGCAAGCGTAACTCTACACGGAGAACGAGTGATTTAGATTGTATGGCAGCCACCATATCAGGTGAAATACTTGTCGGTTTCTCTCGGCTGTGACTTAGATTATTTGTAGACCCTGGGCTTCGATGACTCACTGAGTACGCGCAAAGACTAATTAATGAAATACTACGTTCTAAGGCAAGCGACCCGGAGTTTTCTCCCACGCAAACAGTACACGAGGCAGAAAAAGTTCCCCTTGGTATAGCAGGAGTAGCCTACGCAATGACAACTCTTTGCTCAGCACCTAAATTAAAT